TCACACATCAGTCCAATATGTAAAGGTCTAAAGGTCAGCAGAGTATTATTATGGAATTTGTCTCTTCTTTGCTACAGTAACAGTGGCTACTCTTCTGAGAAGGCTTTACTCTAGATATTGGAGCATTGCTGTGAGGATTTGATTGTATTCGGCCACAAGAGCATTAGTGAGGTCAGGTACTGATGTTGGATGATTACTTTTGGATCACAAATGCCACTCCAACTCATCCCAAAGGTATTGGATGGTGTTCCACCACTACAGAGTACACCATTCACACCAAGTACTGGTCTGTGGAGACTTCACCGACGCTTGGCATTGGCATGGTGACCTTACACTCAAGTGCGGCTGCTGAGGTCAGGTACTGATGTTGGATGATTAGTTTTGGATCACAAATGCCATTCCAACTTATCCCAGAAGTACTGGATGGAGTGCCACCACTTCAACTGTTCCAAAGTCTAATGCTCATGGATTTGTACCACTCTAGCTGATGCTTGGCTTTGGGCATGGTGACCAGCTCATGTACAGCTGCTTCAGAGTATCCCGTTCTGTTGTTCAGTGCTTATTATACAGGCAGTGTGTGAATCACTGTGTCAGAAGGGGGTGCACATTACAGTTGACTATATATTGTTGGTCCTCACAATGTAGGTTAGCTCTGTGTTTCTCAGGTTTTACTATAAAACCAGCACATGCCTTAAAAATGTACAACAACAAAAATACACATGGACCAGGAATGCTGAGAGTAATCCTATCACTGTAAAATGCCATCAGAAACCCAAAGCCAGTGACAGTTGTGTGGGGCAACCATGCCAGCGTCTCTCCCAGTCTCCCTCTCTCTCTCTCTGTTTCTCCCCTCCGTGAGCACTGTGCCTGAGAAACGCTCCCTTTCCTCTCCTCCATCAGCATTGCTCCAGCAGGCCATCTGTCAGTGCTAATGGATGCACGCTCATTTGCATGGCTGATGAGCGCTCCTCGTTTGGCAAGGCTCGAGCAGAAGGTCGCATTCTGACGCGTCGGAGAAGGAGAAATTTTGGCAGGGAGAGAGGAGAGAGAGAGACAAAGACCTGTAGATAGGGTTGGAATAGAGAGAGAGAGAGAGAGAGCGAGTCAGTGTGCTCCTATATGTGCATGTGAAACATCAAGAATACATATCAACTCATATTAAATATTTTATCTTTTTTATTTAGTCTATGCAAAGAGAGAGGGAGTGCATGTATACATTTAAATTGTTATGTAATTTAAAAAAATATTGTCTATTTTTTACATATCGTCACTGTCCAAAGAAAAAGAAGTATCTCTAAAATAGTAAATTTACAGGAGAAATGATCTTATTTTGTAATATAAGTTAACGTAAAGAGGTTTTATTCTAAGTGATTTCAGAGCATTGCTATTTGTCCAATCATCATGAAATTTTCACACACCATAAGTGACAGCTGGTGTGTTGAAATGATGTGGAAACATAAAAAAAATGACAAAAATGGACATACATGGTTTTCTTTGGACAGTGACAAAATGCACATTTAATATGTACTGCATATTTAACTTACTTGACTTTCTTGTCTATTTTTTATTGTCTTTCATATTTTTCATACTTAATTTCTGATTTATATGTGTAAGTTTATGTGCAATTATATGTCTTGCTACTGTAACACTGCAAATTCTCTTCAGGATCAATGAAGTTCTATCTATATATCTAGTTGTCTAGCTAGCCAGCTTTTTCCACTCTTTTATTTCTGTGGAAATTAAAACATCCACAGGTGTTTCTGTCCATTCTTCCACTATGAGAATGCTGTGGTCTGAAAGGATGTGCAGCTGCCAAGAAGTCATTACTGAGAAAAGGAAACAGAAAAAAAAAGAAAATGCTAGAAGCTGCTAGTATTCTCAGAACACCCCAGAGCCCAGACTGATTATTTGGAACATGAGAAATGCAACTAACTTCTAAGACTGAACTTTGAATGTGTGAAAAAAAACTGCAGATTTCCGAAACACTGAAAGCCTCCTGAAAAGAGACCTATAAAAAAGACAGAGACCCCCTGAATATCTTTATAATTAATAATTCTTGTCTTTTTTGACTATAAAAATAAAATAAATCAAAGGTGGTCTCTGACTTATGTGCAGTGCTGTATGACGGTATGAATTTGCTTACATGTACAAATTGTTTTAAGAAAAAAACAAAAATTCCTTTTGGTCACAGGGGTTATTTTAGGTGAAGGTATAGCAGTATTCAACTAAATATAGAAAAAATAAATATAAAGATAGTTACACAAGTATGTGTGTGAGAATGTATGCACCATCTCTGGAAGTAAATCAGCCCCTATGAGGCTCCTCCAGCCTATCAGTCTGCATTTGTCTTCTTCACCAGTGAAGACATGTCTGCCCCCCAATGCACACATACACATACAGACACACACACATACACACACACACGCCGCTGCCTCAGCTCTTTCCTCATGCCTGTGTGTGTCTCCTCCAGTCTCTTCTCCTCTCAGCCTCCCCAAGCTATCTCCTTTAATTACTGCTTATGGCTCCCTGTGCCCCCCCACCCCCCTAAATCCCCGCTCTCTGTGGCTGAGGCTGCTCTTTGTGCCTGTCGCCTCCATCGCTGGTGCGTTGCCTCCAGCCTCTGATCTCAGAGCAGTGTGGCATTTCTCATTTTCTCATTTGGGATGTGGAGAAAATAAAGATTTTATAGCGGAGCTGATCTCAGACCAATCCTTATGGGCGCTGTCACAGCCCCTGCAGCCCCTGCAGAATAACACTCAGAGTGGGGAGGATAAGGGAAAGCGCCAGACAGGCTCGCAGGCTTCTCTAAACGGCAGACTTTGATGCTGAGGCTGTGAAAGAGCTTTGAGAGTGGTGTGATTGCTCTGTGTGTGCATGTGGCGTCTATCGATCGGTCTGTTTTCCAGAGAAGTGACAAGAAGGTTGTTCGTGGCACACACAAATGGCGTCCTCTCCAGTCATTCTCCAGTGCAAACACAAAACAGTCTTGGCAAATCTCAAAGGGTTTCTTCATAATTATTGCCACAGTTGTACCACATATCCCAGACAGTGGTTACCGTATGGTTTAAAATACTAACGTGTATTACTGCATGCAACAGTCCTTGGCTATCAGGCGTGTGCATATTATGCTTTTTGTCTAATGAGTGTCTGCGTCCATGCACGTAATTTCCGTACGAGTGTTTTACAGTGGACCCTCTTGAGCATTGCCAGTGAGGTAGAGTACCCTCCACACGTGTCCTCGATGCTAGGCGGCTTTTTTAGCCAGTCTCCCTTTCCATTAATTAGCCTCTCCATTTTCTGCTGGCCACTCTGACATTTCCCCGCTACTAATTCACTGATTAAGCCTATTAATGTGATTAGAGAGGCATTTCTAAGACAGCTGCCATTATATACAGTACGCAAACGAGAGGCAGCTCAGTTGCCCCCACGATTCATCTGTTGTTCAAACAGCACAGGTAGAAAGGTGAGAACTCAATAAAAGAGCTGTTTGTCTCTCTTAAACTGCCTTGTTTAGACGCTACCCCTTGCTGAATCTTCCTCCGCTGTGCAGCTCAGCACCAGTGTGTTCAGCACCAGGAGCTGTCCACTCAGTGTTGCATTTCAGTTCTAGGAGCTGTCTATGAGACCCTTCAAATTCACAACCAGAAGATACACTGTATCTGGATTTATCTGGATATTATGCTGTATTTATAGATATGTAAAACTATTACAGATAGTACTACACATTTTGGCCTATTTTTCTGGGAGATGCCCACTTTTTGATTATATTTCAGCACTCAGAGCTGCCCACTGTTTGTTACATTTTAGCACTGGGAGTGGTCCACTATTTATTACATTTCAATACCATGAGCTGTCCACTGTTTGTTAGGTTTCATCACCAGGAGTAACCTACTATTTGTCACATTTTAACACCATGTGCTGTTCATTGTTTTGTTTTGTTTCAGCATTGGGAGCTGTCCACTTTTTATTCCATTTCAACTCCATGAGGCTGAGAGCAGTCCAGTATTTGTTACATCTCAACACCATGAGGTGTCCACTGTTTAGTTACATTTCAGAACCGGGAACTGTCCACTGTTTTGTTACATTTCAGCACTGGGAACTGTCCACTGTTTGTTACATTTCAGTACCGGGAACTGTCCGCCCCAGTATGCAGCAGTATTATATCTGAAAATCGCAATAATTCCAAAAAATAACCTACAGACGGTACCAGACATTAGCATTTTGGCCTATTTTTCATCGCAACAGGAAAACTTTGGTCTCTTTGGGGATTACATCAAATTGTGAGCTGACAGTGACGGCACGCACTGAAAGCAGAGATTGTCCTCATGTAATGTGGGACTGAATTAATTTTCCATGAGATATGTTTTGCATCCCTTTAATTCATATTCTATACCAAGCATGCACTGTCTTTCTCTTTCTCCCTCTCTGTCTCTCTCTATCTCTCTCTCTCTCTCTCACTCTCTCTCTCTCTCTCTCTCTCATGCACGCACTGAGTCTGCTGCACACGCTACTGCGCTCACATGGCTCTGTACACTCTGTGGTCTAAGGGGAGAGCTATGCAGGGAGTGACTAAGAACAGACTGTCTACAGCACAGAATTAATATAGAGAGGAGAGAAAGAGAGACTGAAATACGTTCCCCTTGTTTCTCACAGGCCAGGAAATGGACGCTTCAGTGTAAGCTCCGCCGGTTTCTCTCATTCTGTCCCCGTCTCTTTGCATAGCGGCTGGCTGGCTGCTGTCTGCTGGAGAGAGAAAGACGGTAAGTCTGGCTCTGCCTGCTTCATCCTCCACACTTTTGCTCTGCTGCTGCAGTCTCTGTCTCTCTGTCTCTCTCTCTCTCTCCTACCTCGTACATCCCTCACTCTCTCCATCTCTCACTCCCCTCCTTCCTGTCTGTCTGCCTCTCTTGCTCTCCCTCCCTCCCTCCTTCTCTCTCTCTCTCTCCTCTAGAGCGGCTGCAGCTCACCCCGCTCCTCCACTCCCTCTCCCTCTCCATCTCTCCAAGTGCTAGCGGATAATAATACAGACAGAGAGCTCAAACAAAGAAAGATTGATAGAACGAGGGAAGAGAGGAGCGAACGAGTGAACAGTGCAAAAAGAAAAGGAGGGAAAAGAAAGAAAGAGACGGTGGCAGGCAACGGGGGAGAGAGAGAGGAGGAGAGAAAGAGAGAGAGAGAGTGAGAAAGACAGTGTCGCCATTTCAGTAGGTTTCACTTTGTTTACTTCTTGTTTTGCAGTGCTGGCATTATGTGTTGTGATGACTGGTTTGAAATTACGGAGCGCGTGGGCGTCTGTGCATGTGAATATGTGGATGTATGTGTATGTGCTTGTATATATATGTATATATATACGCGTGAAGATAGAAGGGAGCGTTAGACACTGCCATAGATTGGTAAAGAAATCACTTGTGCATTCCAGCACACTAAACTGTGGAGTAGCCATCTGACAAAGTGATTACGGCCAATTTTGTGTATTTGTAAGAGTTGTGCTGGATTGTCAACAGCACAGTTGCTCAGTAACTTGACTTTTTTCTCTTTGTCAGCTCTTTCTCAGGCTGAATAAGTCATTTCTTACTCATCTTGGTCATACATTAATTTTGTGGGCTTGTTACATGGCTTGAAAAAGCAGCAATGAGGTAACTTTGCATTTTGAGGGGAACAAGGAAGAAAGAGCAGCTGTGAAAGTTCAGCAATTTAAACTTGTGCAAGTCTTTCTGGGCGAACTCGCCTCCGATTTTAAACAAAGGGAGAACTCCACAGATGCTTAAGCAGCGAATAGAAAGGTAAGCCAAGAGTGTGCGAAACACCCTTAGAGAGTATATACCCATGCAGAGTTTATCATTCATATTTACAAATGTTTATCATGAATAAACCCCAGCAATGTTGCGCATGTATAATGGGACCTTTACATGGAACACAATTCAGTAATGAAATCATAGAAATTACAGTCAAAATGTCTAGAAAACAATGTGAAAGAAGAAGCAATTGGAAGTTGTGAATGTTGAAGCAACTAGTTATTCATAATTCATATGTACAAGTATTAGATTTGTTTATGCAGAGTGGAAGGTTGTTAACAGGAAAAAGTTGCCTTTTGCTGCTGATGTGAAAACAGTCGTGCTGGTTCTGTCTCACTGATTAAGAGCAGGCTTTGGGAAGTGTGTCCTGCAGGAGCTGCTGCAGATTTTCCACTGCCATCACTTCAAATACTTCTAAATGAATGATTATATTCTGCATCTGCATATCAGACTCCTCACAGCATTTGGGCCTCAGTGAATTTAAGATCATGCTTTGATCCCCAGAAGTTGCCGTATTGTTCTGCACACCAGCGTTATGTTAAGATGCGGATTCTTTTATAGCTCGTGTGCGATGTGGTGAGTCCGTTCTTACAAAGTTTAAGTCTTTGTCTAAACTTTGACACATCTGTAAAAGTTTAAGGGCTTTTTCTGATGGCCATGTATTGCATCTTACAATGGACAGACTGGAAATTTCTTTCAGGTGCAGCAACACTGAGGCATTATTAGGTTTGAAGTGAAAGGGTTAAAGTCTGACTTTGGAGTTTGGGGCTGACCGTTATGTATGATGTATGATTATGTATGATTTCTACTATGAGACGGATTGTGAATTTTGAAACTGAAGGTTTAGTATGAAGCTCATTCTGAATTTTTTTAGGCAAAACATTTTTGTGGTAGAAGTGAAAGGCATTCTGAGACCGAACGTCAAAGCTGAGAATGAATTTTGCAGCTGAAAATGAAATCTGAGGCAGAGCATTTAACATAAAGCCAATTACATTTTTAAATTAAGAATACTTTGAATTTTGAGATGGACGTTTTAGGGTGGAAGGTTGACTCAGGAGCTGATTATTTAAGATGGAGCAATATTTTAAATGGTTGAGGTAGAAGGTATTTTGAGGTAGACATGTTAGTATGGAGTTCTTCATCAGTTTTGAGCAGGTGCATGTCATATGAGGATGATTGTAAATTCAGAGGCAGAATATATAATGTGAGGCAGCGTGAGTTGGACTTAATATTGAGGTAGGCGGTAGAAGTTTTAATATGGAGCTGAAATAGAAAATTTAATTTGATGCTGACTATAAATTTTGAGGTGGCACTTAATATTAGACTATTAGACTAGAACTTTCATGAGGCAAGTTTAGTGTGAGGCTAGTTAAGGGATTTTGAGACAGATGATGTGCTGATATGCTGAATATATTGAAGCAAAAGACAGAGAGGGAGGGTGTTTTAGTTTGGAGCTCATTATGACCTTTGAGACAAAACATTTTATATGAGGCTGATTATTAAATCTGAGGCAGACTGTGAGTTGAGGTAAAAGGTATTTTGAGGCAGACGTTTTAGTACAGACCTAAGACAGAACATTTAACTCGAGGCTGATTATGAATTTTGAGGTGGCATACATACTATGAGACTTATTATGAGTTAGAAGGTTTAAAATGATTATGAATTTGGAGGCAGAATATTTCATATGAGTCTGACAGTGAATGTCAAGGCAGAAGTTTCAGTATGGAGCCAATTGTGAAATCTAAGGCAGAATATTTAATGAGGCAAACTACAGTAAATGTGTAAGGTATTTTGGTTTTAGAAATTTTAGTATGGAACTCAGTATGAACTTTGAGACTATTTCATATAAGGCTGATTATGAATTCTGAGACACAAGATGTAATATGAGGCAGACAGTCAATATTGAAGTTTGAATTTTTAAGTTTTAGTAAGAAGCTGAGACCACATTTAATTTGATACTACTCATGAACGTTGAGGTTGCACACCTCTTATAAGACTGAATATGAGTCCACAGTTTGATGCAGAAGATACAATATGAGGCAGACTGACTTTTGAAGTAGATATGTCAGTATGGAGCTAATTTTGAATGTTGAGGCAGAATATGTAATACATTTTAGTATGGAGCTTATGACCTTTCAGATGAAATATTTAATATTGAGACTAATATTTAAGTATTAATTTTGAGGTAGAGGGTATTTTTAGGCTTAAGTTTTAGTATGTAGATCACTGCCCTACATGCTGTAGACTGGGTTTCAATCCCTCGTCAGGGCAAACACCCTACAATATACCGTCCTTGGGCAAGATTCCCAACACTACTCTCACCTACCTCTGTAAAAATGATCAAATTGTAAGTCGCTCTGGATAAGAGCATCTGCCAAATGCCATTAACGTGATGTAAATGAGGCAGGAGATTGAATTTGAGGCTGATAATGGATTTTGAGGTGGCACGCCTAATCAGGGACTGATAAGCTTATTCTTACAAAAATGAGAAGGTTTAAAATGACTGTGAATTTTGAGGCAGAATATTTAAGAAGAGGCAGTGAATTTCGAGGTAGAAGTTTCAGTATAGAGCTGATTATGAATTTTGAGCAGGAACATTTCATATAAGGCTGATAATGAGTTTGGAGGCAGCAGCTTTAGAACGAGGCTGATTATGTGTTCTTATGAGCAGATCTGAATGATGTGTCTGAGAGCTCCGTGACCCCAGAGGGTTTCCCTGCCTCAGACAGCCAGGCTCAGTGAGTCATTAATAAGATAGCTGGCTGAGAGAGAGAGAGAGTAAGAGAGAGAGAGAGAGAGAGAGAGAGAGAGAGAGAGAGAGAGAGAGAGAGAGAGAGACACCCTGCCTGTTTCACAATGTTACAAGCTTAATGAACACCCCCACTCTCACCCCAACACACACACACGCCCGCGCACACACACACGCACGTATGCACACACACTGTCTGATGTGCGGCAATGGCTTGGATAAAAATAGCCTCTTTGGTGAAGGCGGCTTGGGGAGGAACAATAGCAAGTGGATGGCTTTTCAGCTGTGCATAATGTACATGCATGACATAATTATCTCACTGAATATGTGACCTGTTGTGTCCACACTTTATCCTATAAAAAAATCTAATTGGTCTTAACCCATGTCATTTCAATTATCACAATACATTTAATACAAACACGCTCTGCCACATTTTTATAAAATTTTAGGTCAGAATTGTTTGCATTTCTGTTGAGATTCACTACATACACTAGAATATGCAGAGGTAGAACAATACCCCTCAGTGATTTTGAATTGCATATGAGCTGCAGTGTTCCCTCTGCTAGTTTTGCAGGAGAGAAGCCGCCTCCTGCAGTAACCAAACTGTGATTTCTTTAGTGATGCTCTGTCAATCTATTAAAGGTATTCCATTGTTAAGGCCTTAAAGACTCCATTTGGAATCATGACACCAATGGGACAATCTTACTGCAATCAAAGTCTTGTCTTTTAACAAAGTGTAGTCTATGTTCATTTATCATTAATGAATTGTTCTCCAACAAATGCCTTGCTTCACAGCAGTTATACAGTCTAAGACTGCAAATTTAAGGGCATCTGTAACCATTTATGTACAGCATAATAGATAGGGAGGTGATGATGGTTATGGTTTTGTTCGCAATTACTGTAATTGTATGTTTCGGTAATAATTATTTAATGTTAGGCTAATGTACGGTAGGCGACTTAGCTCTTTGCATCCACAAGAAAAAATAGATACTAATGTTTTTGCCTGTTCTTGTCTCAGACTGTGGCTGAGCACAAGCCAAGTGAAAGTAAAAAATTGTGCAAGTTTGCTGTTTATGCAAAATATTCCTTTAAGCTGAGGCCTTACACAGAAATTCACTGCATTTCTAATGACAATCAAACTAGAATATTCTGTGGAATATGTGGTCTAAGATATGTCCACTCTACTCTATTTCTGCTAAAAGCTGTAGAAATAGAGGAACAGAAGCACCATATGGTAGGCCTGTGGATTTAAGTTAGTGCTGAGGAACAAAAAGAACAAAACAGAATGGAAAAAAAGCAGATGGAGTAGCTATCTAGGGCTTTTGGTTTTTTTAAGGGCCATGTTTTTTTCTACACTGTGTGAGTACAGCATGGTTATCTTGTATGAAGGCCACAGTCACTCAGATGATGCTGTGCTCCTACTGCGTTTCCATGGGAAGCCCTCATCTACGTATATGACACACTGCTGCTGTGACCTAGATGAAGAGAAAGAGTGAGAGACCGAGAAATGGAGTGAACGAGAAAGCGAGAGAGGATGTAGAGAAGAGAAGGATGGCCCTGGCTGTATCCCAGCAGGCTTGCACAGTAAACAAATTCAGCCTTGGCGTTCACCCTCAGTAAACAGCTGGAATTCAGCAGAGGCCTCAACTGGGTCATCTTC